CCTTTTTGATAACAACGTCCAAGGTAATATTGTCCATGACTATTTCCGTTTTCAGTTGATCTTAAGTACCATCGAAAAGCATTTTCTTCATCCTTCATGACTCCAACTCCAAACTCATAACAATATCCAATAACACATTGACTATCGCCATTACCACCATTTGCTAAATTTTCATGGGATTTAAAAGCATCATAAAGATTTTCTTTAAATTCCGGGTATCTTTTTTCAAGATCGAATTCTTGTAAGTTAACTCTTTTAGATATCAAATTCAAATCAATTTCTATTTAAAGTACAGTAACACATTATTATAGTTTGTAGCCTTGAACACAGATAAACATATAGATATATGAAAGCCAAGTTACCTGAACCTCGGTTGATTATGAATCGTTCATCTGTTATAAATTTTTGCGTTGATTTGTTGGTATTATTATCGACTTTTTCTTCCAATAAATGTACATGGTCATTTATAGTTATTTTATCCAAGTCCACATTAAGGTCATGTATGACTTTATCAATAACTGGACGTTGGCTTGGATCTTGACTCCAGCATTCTATTAAAATAATTAAAGTAGGATTATATAATATTGATTTAGATTTTGAATATTATCGCTACATTAGATTATATTATACCTTGATATATCTTTACATAATCTATTGGTGTTCCTATAATTGGATCTTCTCGGTTACCGCTTATAATGAAAGTTAATATATCAAACTCGTCTTCAAAATTCTTTAATCTGTAAGGACACCGACCACTTGAAATTTGCCAAAATAATATCCCGATACTATATATGTCGGAAGATTTGTTTCGACTATATTTTCCCATTTTTTTAAGGAAAATCGGATCCGAATATTCTAAGGCGCCGGCCAATTTTAGCAAAGCAATTGACGGCTCGGTGGTAAGTTTGGAGATTCCAAAGTCACTAACTTTAACAGAGTTGTTATGAATAAGTATATTTCCAGGATGCTATAAAATAATAAATTTTTATTAGATTAACATCTTAATAAAATTTTTTATATTATAGTT